CTGGCAGCTCTCCAAGCCAGATAAGGTCTGTGACTGTAAATCCTCCCTCGAAAGACTTTGCTGGATGGGAATTAGCAGAATTCAGTCAATTAATAAAAGTGTTGGGACAAGGAGTCTGCTTCATGCTCTTGGGAAGCCTCGGTCAGAACAGATGTGATGGGGAGAAGCTGGTTCCATAGGTAGCCTGACCCTGATGCCCTGTAGGGCTTTATACGTAATAGCCAACCCTGTGGACTGGACCCAGAAGCAAATTGGCACCCAACGCAGTTCATAAAGCAAAAATGTTATCTGTGCCCATTTTTGGGCATCCAACTGGAAAATAAGCCTTCCCAGGATTTTTCAGGATGATGCTCATAATATAAATCCTACCCCAAAAATAAGTCCCATTTAAGATCAACAGCCAGACAAACACATTTAATACCGTATTTCCCCTAAAATAAGCCGTAATGCCTCTTTTGGAGCACAAATTAATATAAAACCCAGTCTTATTTTCGGGAAAACACGGTAGCTCACGCGGCCGCATTCTGCACCAGTTGAAACTTTTGGATATTTTTCAAGGTTATGTCCATGTACAGAATGTTGAAATAGTCCATTTGGGAGGTGACCAGGGCATGAGTGACCGAGTGGAGGGCCCCCTTTGTTCTTGAAGGGGCATAATTGGTGCCCAACGCGGAGTTGGTGGAGATAAGACTATAAATCAGACACCATTGGATGAGAGGAGAGAAATTAAAACTTTTTTTTCCCCTTTCTCGGCTTCTGTTTTCCCAGGCATTGATCCTGACCTCCTTGTTTTTGAGAAGTTTTCATTCAAGGATATAAACACCAGGTCTTCTTTTAGTAAATGGGAGAGGCATGGCGGAGGACGGGTTGCTGACCTCGAAACAGACCAGGATGAACTATCTTCCCCAAGGTTCCTTTTCCTGGAGGCCTCCTCCCCCACCACAACCCCAAAGCCAGGCATGGACAGGAGTAGCAGGAGCTCATCAGTAGATGTTGCCTTCAAGAACTCCCCCACGACATCGATGGCGTCGGCTTCAGTGATGGGCCATTTAGCAAAAGCAACTGAGATTCTTCCAGGGAGGACCACCTCTTCGACCACTTCGGATAATGTCAAGGCATCTCCCGTCTCTGATCCTGCGTCCATCCGGACGGCGTCGCTATCACCCAGTGAGGTCCTTCCCAATTCCAGCAAACCCTTGAATGAAACCAAAGTCTACAGCGGAAGGAACAATAGTTCTCCTGAGGAAGGCCAGCAGCCCACAGAGGAGATGGCAGGGTGGGGGGCCTGGTTCCCCCTGATTTTACTTTGTTCTTTGTTGGTTTTCATGGGCTGCTGTTGCTGCTGTGGTATCTTTTGGGCAACAGGATGGAAGAAGAGAGGTCGTTATAAACCAAGGCATGAAGGAAGATCAGCACCCTACCAATTCATAAAATACACTGCCGTTAAAAGTAGTTTTTAATGGTCAGATTCCAAATTCATCAGGAATGGAATGGAAGCAGAGGTGGGTTGCTCCCGGATTGGCCAAAACAGTGGTAGTGGCGGTGGGAAGCTCTACCCACCTGTCCGGATGCTTCTGCGCATGCGCAGAAGGGTTGTGCAAGCGCACAAGAGCAAACTGGTAGTAAAAAAATTGGAAATCCACCACTGAATAGAAGGGAAGGAGAAGGGGAGGGGAGGGGAAAGGAAAGAGGGGAAGGGAAAAGGAAAGGGAAGAAGGGAAAGGGAAGGGGGGAAGGGAAAAGAAAAAGGGAAGGAAAAGGGGAGGGGAGGGGAAAGGAAAGGGAAGGAGAAGGGAAAGGGAAAGGGGGGAAGGGAAGGGAAAAGAAAAAGGGAAGGAAAAGGGGAGGGGAGGGGAAAGGGAAAGGGAAGAAGGGAAAGGGAAGGGGGGGAAGGGAAGGGAAA